TTATATTATCTTTTGGTTATATAAAACAAAATAATCATATACTCATTTTTAACAATTATTTAGTTTTATAATTAAGATAATTCTATTAAAAAGGCATTCTAAATTTCTAAAGAGTACTCCACATCCTCAGAAAAGTAATGTGTTTATATGATACACTGAGTTACTCTGAAGTCTAAGTGCCTTCACTAGATTCTGACTCCTTAAAGGGAAAGGAAATAATACCAGCCATTCTCAAAACTCCACATACTGAAAACATCAAGAGCTCCCTCTATTGGACTCAGCAGACATTTCTTAGATTCTTTATTCCAGAGTTAGTCTGTTTAATAGAATTGATATTTCCCTTAAATTTAAGCATTCTTTCCGCATTCCTTATAATAAAATTTTACAAAATGGAAAAAAAGAGTACTTCATTCCCAAAAATATTTTCTAAGTAACTGTGTGTAAAGATATATACAGATCTATCATGCAAAGTAAAACTTACAAACCTATTTCCAAATTAAATGTTTTGAAAAATGCAATGATTTAGTGGTATAATCTGTGTATACAATCTTACACTCATTTTCTCATTGCTGAAATAAAGACAAAATCGTATTACTACAGCTGATGAATAAATCAATAAATGTGATGCACGCTTTAAAATGTTAAGTAGCTTCATAAGCTCTTAGGATCTGAGTTAAGTATAATACTAAGAGGAAATGTACAGAAAAAATGTAGTTGAATCCATTAAATATATACTATTTAAATACCTGAGAAGTTTCTGTTTTTGTTTAGTTGTTAGTGACTTTAAAAATTCAACTTCTGGATCTTCTTCACCCTCACTTGCAACATATTCCTGAGCCAACAAAGATATCATTAAATTTCTAGATTTCAAGCAAAGAAAACATTTACAAGTAAGTTTTTGTATTAGGGACATACTGTGGTTAAGAGATCGGCTGCTAACCAGAAGTTCAAATCCACCAGGTGCTCCTTGGAAACTCTATGGAGCAGTTCTACTCTGTCCTATAGGGCCACTGTAAGTCAGAATTGACTCAATGCAACGGGTTTGGTTTGGTTTGGTAGATGAATATGATATTTTGGACTGGGTAGTGGGAAGGAATTAAAAACACTTTTTAAAAATAGTCTACCTGCCAAGGGGTATTACAGTCCACTAATAGGTTAAGATGAATGTCTTGCTAGAATAGGAAACTTTATCAGGAAGAGGATGGTGGGAGACAGATAAAACGTTATAGCATGGCTTCCATTCTCTATAGCTATTCCTTGAGGTTGAATCATGTTAAACACTTGGATGTTTAAATATTTTATTTGTAATTTAGTGAAATACTAAAACCAAGATCATGAACCTTACAGGACAGTCAAAACATCCACACTTTTAACCTTTATAATTTCAACAGCACATTACCAAATATATAATACAGGTTATATAAACAATCCCTAACAATGTTAAGAAAAATAATATGCCTCTTTTCAGAGCAGCACAAATTAATGTCAGAGAGTCTGGGTTTTGGTCTCAGCTCTGTCTCTAGATTGCCACATGATCTTAGGAAAACTGTTTAACTTCTCTGGCTTTAGTTTCCTCATTAAATAAAGTAAATGGTTTGTATTAGAATATATACAGTTCTTCAAACTCAACCATTTTCTGGATCTATGTATAGTTTAATAAATTAAAATATTTTCTATAATTTTTAGGGGTTTGTTTTTATACACTTCTTTCCATTGGTTCTATTCAATGTCACCTCAGGGGTAAGTTAGCAGGAATTAAAAAACATCAACTCTATCACCAGTTCAGTTAGAAATTTTGCCCACATAAACCCAGAGAAGCAGTTTCATTTATTAAAATATAGGTTTAAAAACAATTTATATTTAGGTTAAAATAGTAAAGAAGCAAAATCAAAATACATTTTAGGCATTTTTCTTTGCTCTATCTGGCTTTCCTATGGATATGTATATTGGAAAACATTAAGTAGCAATTCACAAGCAATCACATTTAGATTTATAGACATTTTCAGCTTACTGATAAAAAGATCATTACCTGTGATGGATCATTTGCAGTCAAGTTTCTCCCCAGTACATTTCGTTTCAGTGCAAACCCACTGTTTCTCATCTCCGCTATTAGCTCCGAGGGGTGCATCGATGGCCCTGTTCACAAAAATCACAGTTTGAATGTATCATTTATATCTCTCTACCTTTTTCGGACTCCACAGTAGGAATGCAGTTGAAGCTTTGTTAAGTAAAATCACTGCTAAATCAACTCAATAATCTTCTGCTGAGCAAATAATCAGCTATGATTTTCTAAAACAGCAGTGTGGAGATTCGGAATAGAAAATAATTGCATTTTTCTTTACGTGCAAGGGGATTCTCTTCTTATGTAACTGCCATATTGAAAAGGATACATTTAGCTATTGTCTGGTTGGCAGTTTTTAGTATAAAATCAAAGCAAAATGATAAAAAACTGCAATTAAACTTTTAATAGGCATTCTCTCAGAGCTCAATTTAGGAAATATTTTAAAGATGCCTGAGTAACATATGATTATTCTAGTTTCCAATCAAAAATTTCTCCCCCTTACTTATCAAATGCCAATACTGAATATACTGCCAGGAGGTGGCTGATTATCAACATACACACAAAATCCCAACCATCTAGTACTTCAGTTAATCTCACACACACACACACACACACACACAGATTTTGAAATTTTTAGATATTAGTGGCAAGCAATTTTAGACTGGCTATAGGGCCGCTATGAGTAGGAATCGACTCGATGGCAATGGGTTCTTTTTTAAATAGGTGTATGTGTTATATTTTTACAAGTTGCTGTTTCTAGTTTCAAAAAACACCAAATTGAAAAGTGAGTTTCTTTTTGGTCACATAATATGGACTAAAGACAGATAAATTAAAAAAAAATTTCTTTTTTCTTTTAAAAGATCTGCCCCCTTCCTTCAAATATCAGAAAGTTTATGTTACATAGGAAAGAAAGCCTCTGTCCTCCTCCTTTCATACATTCATCTTGTTTTCCTTACAGGCAGCAAACTAATGGCAACATTTCAAAGGAGCTATATAAAAAGTTTCTGGCCTAAATCATCTACACTGTCTTAAAAGAGCTACACTGGGTGATATATCTGGAATATAAGGAAGAATAAGACAGCCCACAAGGAATTCATAAGGGAGGGTGTGGGTTAGAGAAACAATCAGAAACTAACTCTCTAGTTTGTTGCTTAAATACTTCTATTTCTTTTTCTCCTCACAGCTTTCTTGGTCTTTTACCACTTACTTGCATGTTCATCTGCATGTTGTCATGGAAAGCAAAAGGCAATCAAATTCAAATCTGTTCATCTGTCAACAGCAGCTTTGGTAAAAAGTTTGCGAGAAAATTTCAGGTGTAAGTTCTCTGGGCTTCATCGTTCATATTATCACAATCAACTGAAAGTTGGCTTTAGGTATTAGGGAACAACAACAGTAAAAAATCAAACCTGTGGCCATTAAGTCCGTTCCAACTCACAGTGACCCTACAGGACGGAGCAGAACTGCTCCACAGGGTTTCCAAGGAGTGGCTGGTGGATTCGAACTGACAACCTTTTGGTTAGCAGCCGAACACTTAATCACAGTGCCACCAGGGCTCCAGGTTTTAGGGAGATGACAGGGAAAAACTGCCTAGTATTGGTCTACGGGGGAGTTATTAATAATGGGATACTTTTAATTTATTGAAAATAAAAAAGCCTACTTAATTGACAAAACAAAAACACCATAAAGTAGCATCTTTATTTCATTATATTAATATTTTATTTAAAACAATATAGGGTTTTTTTCCTTCTACACAAGATATTTAATTCCTATGGAATACTTTAATGACCTTTAAATTTCTCAATTTGGTTGCTAATACTGATAATAAAATCTTAAATAAAAATTGAATTTCTGGTTGCCTTCAAATGGCATACAAGTGCTAATACAATTAACAGCTTTAAATGAGGTACAGAATGTAGTTCAATGCACTTTTTTGGTGGCTTCTCAAATTTCACATGTAGAAATATAATTTTATAAAGTAGAAAATTTCTCTTCTGAAATGACAAAACTCCATATCCTTGTCAACAACTTTATTAGATGTCAAATGAATTCAGAAGCAAACACGTTAAGAATTAGGATAAAAACCACTCCAGTAAAGGGCCAAAAAACCTGGCCATTATGATGAGAGGTTACTAATTTCATCACTTTTCATCAAAAGATGGGTAAGTTTAATAAGATGTTTTAGAAAACATGCTTTTTACATTTTCATTACAGTACTTCCAACTATTTCAAGAAAATGATCCCTTTTCTCCTAGTCTGACAGAAATTATACAGACAATGAAACCGTTACTCTTCTAGCATTTATATTTCTCTAAAACCCCAAATGACCACTCTGTGTAGTACATACGCTTAGTATACACTTCCATATTGCAAGACTATAAACACACTGCTTAGTGAAGTGCCTGACAAACGTACTCAATAAATAGTAGCAACTATTATTTTTACCAGTAGCTGTAAAGATTTTATTTTATAAATTCTCCATAGTTTAAGTGTTGTTAGTAGCATTTTTCAAAACCCTGTCTTATTGACATTTTTGTATGTAAATGTTTTCTATCATAAAAAATTTTACGTTTAGAAGATATGACAGATTATGATATTTAGCAAGATAGCTTTATACTTTCATATTACTGTGATAGTGGCTATGTAGTTAAATTAACAGAAATGACTCCACTTCTCTGACAACTTAAAATTTAGTTGATATAATAGAGTATATGGATATGTTGATAATATAGATTATACAGATATGTCCAACTACTAAAACTACATAAAAATTTCTTTTAAGTATGGTGCCTGTCTTAGTTATCTAGGGCTGCTATAACAGAAATACCACAAGTGGGTGGCTTTAACAAACAAATTTATTTTCTCAAGTTTACGCGGCTAGATGTCTGAATTCAGGGTGCTGGCTAGAAAGGTTTTCTCTGTTGGCTCTGGAGGAAGGTCCTTGTCTCTTCTGAGCTTCTGCTCCTGGGTGATCTTCATATGGCCTGGCATCTCTCTTCCCCCATCTCTGCTTTGCTTGCCTATTTAATCACTTTTATATTCAAAAAAGATTGGCTCAAAATACACCCTATACTAATCCTGCCTCATTAACAAAACAGACAACCCACTCCCAAATGGGATTATAACCACAGGCACAGAGATTAGGATTTACAACACATATTTTTTGGGGGCACAATTCAATTCCATAATGGCACCTTAATAATTAAAATTACAGCTGGATTTAGGCCTGAGGAATGTTTGGCTTCTTCTTCGATTCACTATGACAGAATTATTCTAGGGAATTCAGAAAAAGGGCACTTGTCCTAAAATGTAGGTTTGTGAGGGCTCCTTTCTAGATCATCTCAGCCAGGCTAGATTAAGCCTCAACTACATGAAAACCCATATTCCAACTCAGAACAGCAGGTCTACTGAAGAAACTGTTTTCAACACTCATTTATTTTGCAAACTTTCTTTGCTGTGATAAGCATAAGCATCAAAATACTGATTGTAACTATGGTCTTCAGTTTTATGTCTTGATTAGATCTAGACTATTTTCTTCTCCTCGAAAAATACCATGGAGTCAGTGTCTCAGGAAAAAAATAAAAAAAACTTTCCCAGAAGTCAAAGTTCAAATTATGCTTGTAAAGGGCTTAACCTATTTACTAAGGGCGTTTATTTTTATAGAACTAAACAAAAAGGAATGAAAGGTAAAAAATGTTCTATAGTAAAATAGGTATTTTATCACATAATATATGAGGTCAAAATTCTAGCGATGAGAAAGACAGTACGACTCTACAATGACAGAATAGCAGCCCCCAGGGTAAATGACACAGGAAGATTAATACTAAGGCAAACACACTTGTGTTCCACTGCTAGCACGAGGTCCTTCTGCTCTTCCCAAGGTCAGATGTATCTTCCATTCAAAGTTCACCATTCCTTTTAAATGATGCAATCTCCTGAAATTTTATCGTGTTAAGTAGGAGAGGGCACTGAGTTGTAGGTTAGGGGAGGAGGAGGAATTACAAATGCCTTTCTCTCCCTCCCCCAAATTTAACATGTTAATATAATTTACAGGATGCTGCTGTTTGCTGAAACTAAATCATTATTCCTACAGCAAATATAGTTTTGCTTGTTATTACAGTAGTAATCTATTTTTATCTTCCCATTATGTGTGTGTATATGTTTTAATTTAACTTTATACTATGGAAAATTTCAAACTTAGAATAATGTAATGAACCCATCAAATAGCTTCAGCAATTATCAACAATTTTCCCAATCTTGTTTCATCAATTACTCCCAACTTCCTTCTTTCCTAACTTTCTTTCTTCTTTCTTTTAGATATCACTTTGGTATGAATCACTAACAAATAGGCAATATTTCTTAAAAATAAAGCCACAACACCTTTAAAACACGCATCAAAATTGATAATTTAAAAATATCATTTAATATCCAGTCAGTATTCAGATTTCCCCAATTGTCTCAAAAGTATCTTTTTACAGTTGGTTTGTTCAGATTACGATCCAAACAAGGTCCACACATTGCATGTGGCTGATATATCTCTTAAGTCTCTCTCTCTTAATAGCCTTTATTTTTTAGAGTAGTTTTAGGTTTACAGAAAAAGTGTGCAGATGGTAGAGGGTTCCGATATACCCTTCCCTCCCCCTGCACACTGTTTCTCCTGTTAATTACATCTTGCATTCCTGTGGTACATTTGATACAAATGATGAATATTGGTATGTTTTTGTAACTGAAGTCCATAGTTTATACTAGGGTTCACAATTTCTGTTATCTAGTTCTGTGGGTTTTGACAAATTCACCATATCGTGTGTCTACCATTATAATAGAAAATAGTTTCAGTGCACTAAAAATACCTGTGATCGAATTATTCATCCCCCCCCTTTGCCCCTGAACCCTTGATTTTTTCAGTGTTTCTGTAGTTTTACCATTTCCGTAATATAACGTATTTGGAATCATACTACATGTAAGTATGTAGCTTTTTCAGACTGGCTTCTTTCACTTAGCAATATGCATAAAGGTTCTTCCATGTCTTTTCCTGGCTTGAGAGCTCATTTCTTTTTATCACTGAATAATATTTAAT